TGCATCATCATGTAAATTTGGTGCAGATAGGCCTTATAGTTTCTTAGTAATAGACCTGCATACAAAACTTTAACTTGGTCCATTATCTGAAAAATGTAGGTCACATCCAGCATCTGAAGCAGCCCATTAGTGTGCATCCTTAGATGTATCATCCATGCAAGTTTAATCAACAAAGGCTCTATAATTACTTTAGAATGAAGCTGCTCAAAAACTTTAACCTGTTCACTGATCCGTAAAATGTAGGTCAGATCCAGCATCCAAAGCAAGCCTGGTAGTGTGCATCCTTAGATTTATCATTTATGCAAGTTTGGTCAACATAGGGCTTATAGGTACTGTACAGCAGCTAGGTTAAAATCGCAGTCAGAAAAGATCGCGATTTGTTCAACTTGCAGCAAATCATGGTCGTTTGAATTCACGGAAAGGAAAAATTAATATACAAAAACTTTTTTCAGCACTGCAAATATTTTCCTTACGTATTATGTCTATTCTGAACCCGAGAACGAAACACCATACTGATCCCGATTAGAAGACAAAATGTTGTACGATTTACAATATGACGCATTCAGATAATTTTTTTTCTTTCTTTCTCGTGTTTTCTTTCTTTTTTTTCTTTTTGTTAAATATTTTTGAAATATACATGAGTCTATACTCGAGTGATTTATTCAAGTGATTTCAAGTCGTATCCAAAACATTCAAGTACAAAAAAAGAAGCCCTTTGGCAGGTGTTCGTTCATAAGTATGTTTTGAGTAGCGTACAGAGTAGTATTTACTGCAGTATGTTTAAATCCCTCTGAATCTAAATCAGTACCGATAATCAAAATGTTGTACTGTTAATAAAATTGAATTTATGTGTAACAGTGTTGTCTTTACTATGTAAGTGCCTTGATTAAAGATAATAAGACTGAGTGATACGCACGGGTGAAATCTAACAATACATGTTTTATAGATAATTACATCGCACTTCTACTGGGTGGCAGTTATAGATGTTTTTATCAATTAAGCTTTAAAAAAAAATCAACAACTACGTGTTAGTAATTGATTCGTTCACCCTAATTAGGAAGACACCCTATATCTCCACTATATTAATTACTGCTTTTATGCTTGCAAGGAAACACAAATAGAGTTGACAAATATAATCACAGATATTGGTAATATTTCAACTTATCCTTATCAATTTTTGAAGAATTATTTACTGTATGTTGAATTCACAGAAGTTTTATTTCCGCGAATATAGTGAATATTAACTCCGCGAGTTAATTTCCTGCTGTACAGTACTTGGAAATGACACCTGCACCAAAAACTTTAACCTGTTCACTCATCCGGAAAATGTAGGTCAGATCCAGCATCCTAAGCAAGCCTGGCAGTGTGCATCCTTAGATGTATCAGCCATGCAAGTTTGGTCAATATAGGGCTTATAGCTACCTTAGAATGAACCTGCTCCAAAAACTTTAACTTGTTCACTCATCCTGAAAATGTAGGTCAGATCCAGCATCCGAAGCAAGTCCAGTAGTGTGCATCCTTAGATGTATCATCCAAGCAATTTTGGTCAACATAGGGCTTATAGTTAGTTGGAAATGAGACCAGCACCCAAAACTTTAACCTGCACCAAAAACTTTAACACTCTAAAAACATTAAAGCTAAACATGACTCGTAAATAGGCATACACCATATTCGATTATACTATCTACGATATCAGCACCAGGATATACTCTTCGCATTCATTACACCTGACTGCTTTATTGTCACGGGTATTGGCATGGAATGGTGACACGTGTTCATGCTGGTTATCTTACATTACCTTTGCTTACATTTTATTGCAGTTACGTGTATTTGTGTTTGTTTGCATGCTGTACTGACCTGTGCATCTGTTGTAAGTTTCTTTGGTATCTTACTCTCCTGTATTAAAAGAATTACACAATTATTTTTGTCGCTACAGAGTGCTGTGTACCATGCATCCGTCTACACTGGTGACGACTGATTACAATGATCAGTGACTAAGGGAGTGGCTTTATATGGGGGCCCTTAGATATAGAGAGTGAATAATTGACTATGGCGGACAAATACCTTTTACGAAGCTTGTTCAGCTTTAACCTCTGTCATTCCTTAGCTGAAATTGCAGCATCTGAGACCTTGACTGGTACAATGAAACACACTAGAAGCATTTTCCATGCATCTCTGATTAATGTAGGGCATAGAAGTACTTAAGAACCCTCTATACACTGCACACTAGAGAGTTCTGATTTTGTGGTATTTTTATGCAGATAGAGTGATCTGCCCTTTGTTCAAGAATAAAATAAATTGAAATGTACATTTATTACTTAATTTGTGATCAAATCAAGCATTCATAACACTTTAATATGCCAAGATGAATAGATAGAACACTTCATGTGCAGGTATTTTGCCCACGTAAGTAAACAACAGTGATTTATGCTCATCAGTACTTCATTGTCTTTGAACAAAGATGCATAAGCTCCCCCCAACTTTGTTGAGGTGAGCTAAAAATTACATATTAGTAAACCTGTTTGAGTGTTAAAGTTGAATTTACAGTGCCTAATGAAGCTTTCACATAAGTTTCATCTTTTCTAGCCAAATGATTCCTAGAAATTCCTGAAAGTTGCATAAACAGTCAAAACCATGTGTTTCTTTTAAGAAAATTGTATCACAAAACAAAAGATTTCTGTGAAATATGAATATAGCGAAGTTTTGACAACTCAACTGCATTGTGAAGCAAGAAAAACAAGAGGCCCAGGGGCCATATCGCTCAACTGAGCAATATGGCTAGGAAAAAGCAGAAATCAGTTCAGTCTTGAAAGGTTGAAAAGTTTAAATATAAAAGTGGTTCGGGGAAGGGGGGGGGGGGGGCATGAATTGCACAAATTTGAATCTACATTACCTGAGGATGCTTCCATTTAAATATGACCAGTCATT